TAAAACCAAAGCCATGTGGCACTCCCGGTTGTGCTGTATGTCCCAGCTTTTGCTGACATATAAGTCCTTAGAGAGGGCCAAGAACATCATGATAAAACAAGAGCTCCCTCGCCCTATGTCCAAGTTGCTAAAAAGCAAGTCTTAACATTTGTCGCTTATAGCCATTAGTCATTGTTCAGATCATGTATAATTCAATTGAGCGCTAGTAAACTACCCATATGCAAGTATCACCCATCGGAAATGAAGGTACAAGGTAACAAATAACTAGGATGTCCTTACAGGTAGCAAATTAGGCACATACATATGACTAGTTAATTAAATGATGAATAGGACATCAAGAAAGATCACATGCTATACTTGCCTTGCTCAAAGTACTCCTGCTGATCCTGCTCGTCAAAGTATTGCTTTTGACCACCAACGAATTGCTCATCGTCTATACTCGATCACAGTTATAACACCACACAAACATCTGGAGCCAATCATGCATAGCAAACAATAACTATAATTAGAACAGTACACCAACAGTAGAAAAACAAGTTGAAAAGCTTATAAATCTAATCTACACATTGCTACGATCACATAGACGCAAATTGCACTAAAATCGGATTTAAACGGAGAAGATAAGATGAAAAAGGGCTCTGGATGGCAGTTCTATAAATAACGCGAACTAATTTATGAATTAATCTAAATAAAATTCGGGTTTTAATACTACGCCGGGGACGATAGGCACAATTATGACAAAGCCTAGGGGCTCTTTAAGAAAATGGCCAGCAAAGGGGTATGGGCGATCCTGGACCATTGGATCTCAACTGGATGGATCAGATTAGATGATAGAGAAGGAGAGAGAGGATGCGGGGGGCTGAACAGTAGCCGGCGCGGTGGCAGCCATTGCCGGCGGTGAGGACCTCATCGGCGAACACGGAAATCGGCCTACGGACCACTATTAGACGCGGGGAAAGCATAGGGAGAAAGAGAAGACAACCGCGAGCTCACCTAGGGCTTCAAACCGGTCGAAGGCGAGGCGGAGATGACGAGCGACTAGACGGGGCGGCCGGTGACGTTCTGCGGAGCAACGGTGACGATGGGTGAGCAACCGAGGGCGAAAATAGAGGGGAAAACGGTGTGAGGAGCTTCACTACCGCAGAAAGAAGCTCGGTGACGGCTTGAAGGCGACGAAGAAGCGGCGGACGGCGAAACCGGCAGCAGCGATGGCGGCTAGGGCTTCTCATCAATGCTGCGAACTCAATATGAGGGAGGCTGCGCGTAGTTGGGAAAAGAGAGCACGGAGGGGGCGGCGGCTTCTTATAGGGATTCTACTCGTGCAGATTGCACCAAATCCCGGAACAATCGGATGTGGGGCTGCGGGATTTGACTCGGAGCAGCGTCAGGTTCGACTCGTGCACAGGGAAAAGAGGTAGGGGGCATGGGTCCCTACTGTCAGTTGAACAGAGGGAGAAAGGGAAACAGGAGCGCGGTTTGGGCTTCGGTCCCAGCTAGGCCGCTGCGGGGAAAGACACTGGGCCGCGGGGAGCACTGCAGGAGATGGGCCAGAGCTGCTACGGGCTGAGGCTGACTGCTGCGCCAGGGAACAGGCCAAAACAGAGAAGGAGGGAGAAAAAGAATTCTTCTCCTTTTTTTTTTCTGAAAACTGAATTTCCAAATCATTTTCAAAAGCGTTTGAATTCAGTTGAAAACCAGACAGTATAGAAACAAAAATGCAGCAGCATGTATGCATCCACGTGTATCTAGCCTTATAGTTGATTTTAATTTCATAAGAATTATTATTTCCCTAAGTTTGAATGCTCACAAAAAATGCGTAAATAAATCAATTTAACTATTTTAAAAGAATGAAAATTTTAGGGTGTTACAGCTAAACAAGAGCTAGCGGTACCTGTACCTTTCTTTTACCTAGTGGATCGAGTGCGTTCGTTACGTCCGTATGTACTAGTTTGTTTAAATTTGTTTGTTTGGATACGCGATACTATAATAATAAGCAGGGGTCGCTCTCTTCTCTTATATAGTCAGTCACGTAGTGCCGCATCGTTTGGACCGACCGCGCGCGCGCTGGCCCGCCCGCCGGGTTTCTTTTCGTTCGAAGTGGACGACGGACGGACGTGGATCCACCTGTGTTCTCCTCCCTTGTTTTCCACGTACAAACTGCACGTCCGTAGCCGTTATAACACCCTGCACACCCACCTGCTATCGCCTCCTCCTCCTCCTCCTCCATCTCCCTCAATTCAATTGATCACCCTGCTAATATGCTAATACTGGCTCCGATCGATCCCTAGCTTGCTTTGCTTTGCTGCCAACACCTAACAAGCAGAAGAGCCTCTCCTTGCTCCGATCGATCCATGGCAGCAGCAGGCAGCAACAAGCAACAGGCGGAGGCGTTGCATGCAGCAGCAGCAGCAGGCCGTCCGTGGCGGCGGCGGCGGCGGCGTCGCAGCAGCGCCACCAGGCGGCGCTGCGCGAGAGGTACGAGCTGCACAGCCTGCGAGGCAAGGGCAGCTTCGCCAAGGTGTGGGAGGCGAGGCACCGGCGCACGGGCCTCAAGGTGGCCATCAAGATCATCTCCCACGCCAAGATGCTGGCCCAGGGCCTGTCCACCGACAAGATCGCGCGGGAGATCCGCGTGATGCGCCTGCTCAGTCAGGGCCACCACCCCCACGTCATCCGCTTCTACGAGGCCATGGCCACCCACGCCCACACCTACATCGTCATGGAGCTCTCCGAGTCCGGCCAGCTCCACGACCACGTCGTCCTCCAGGGGAGGCTGCCCGAGGAGCAGGCCCGCACCATCTTCCGCCAGCTGGCCGCCGCCGTGCTCTTCTGCCACCGCAACATGGTCACGCACCGGGACCTCAAGATGGAGAACGTCCTGCTCATGAACGAGGCGGCCGCCGTCGTCGTCAAGGTCGTCGACTTCGGCTTCAGCAAGGTCTACACCGACGCCAAGCCCATGCGCAAGAAGATGGGGAGCTGCTTGTACGCGGCGCCCGAGCTGTTCGGCGGCGCCACCAGCCGGTACGTGGGGCCCCACGTCGACGTCTGGAGCTGCGGCGTCATCCTCTACGGCATGCTCTGCGGCGGACTGCCCTTCGACGGCGACGACGACATCTCCGAGGTCGCCAGAAACGTCAGGCGCGGCGAGTACCGGGTGCCGTCCTGGGTGTCCGACGACGCGCGGGACCTCATCGCGGGGATGCTCATCGTCAGGCCCAGCAAGCGGATGACCATGGCCGAGGTCATGGCGCACCGATGGCTTCGGCCGGCGGACATGCCTGCGTACCTGGCGATGCCCCCACCGGACGTCAACGCAGCATCCATGGTGCAGGTCGGCGTCGACGAGGCAGCCGTCGAGCAGCTGGTGACGCGCCACGGCTTCGACAGGAGCACCCTGCTGGAGTCTCTGCGCCGGCAACACCAGCACCACCAGTACCACCAGGAGGAGGAGGAGGACGAGGCGGCGGTCGCGTACCAGCTGATTCTCGCCAGCATGTCCGACGCGGCCACCCGGTACCTGTCCATGCGCCCCCCGCCGCCAGAACAGCGGCAACCGCAGTGGGCGCTCGGAGGCCTGCTGGACGACGGCGGCGTGCTCCTCCACGACTGCCCGCGCCTGACCATGCAGCGCATCGCCGCCGCGCTGGAGGAGCTGCGCATACCCATCGTCTCCTACCATAGACGCCGCCATCGGATCAAGTGCCGCGCTGACGTCGTCGTCCACGCACCTGCAGGCGACGGCGTGGAGATGAACAACGACATACTTGACAGCTTGTCGGCCGCCGTGTTCTTCGAGATTCAGGTGTACAAGACCACAGGGGAATTCCAACAAGGCACCGCCGATGGTTCACAACAAGAACAAGATGAAGGAGAAGGAGGACATGGACATCCACATCCTCAGTACGTGGTGCATCTGAACAGGACATCAGGGCCGCAGCTTCCCTACCTCAGCATCTGCTCCCAGTTATCATCCAGGCTCAGACGACACAACAACATCTAGCCAATGCTTCTGCTCCCTCTTCCTCCTGCTCTCTGCTTCCTCTTGCTTGTATAGCTGTATGTGATTTCAACCTTTCCCCCCCTTCCCTATTATAAAAAAAAAGTCTAATTATTTAGAACAGATGAAGTACTATTTTCTCACGTGGAACATTCCAACCTTTTTCTTTGGTTCAACTGGTGCTTGGATGTGTGCATGTGAAGTTTCGATATGAGTAAAACTTATATTCAATCAAAAGCTATACGCTTAGCCCTTCTTGCTAATGTAAAAAGTAGCTTTCCTTTCCTGCCATATGTTGGTTCTAATTTCATGCCCCCTATGTGCCACTATCGTTATAGCGTGTGTAATATGTAAACCCTATGTACCATTATCATTACACATGTATAAAATCTCCATCGTCTTGTCTCAGCTTAGCGACAACACACCCTATGTACCATTATCATTACACATGTATAAAATCTCCATCGTCTTGTCTCAGCTTAGCGACAACTTGTTCGGTTTTAAACGGTGGCTCTCAGATCTACCCTAGTAATTCATCATCTTTTTCTTTGCTAAATCTACCCCATATAACCTCCCCGCTGAGACAGCTCCTCTCCACTCACAAAAAAATGTACCTAGAAAAATAATTTTATAGAAATCAACTATCCAAATTACTTCTGAATCTTCTCTCTCACTGCCCAGATCTAATCATTTGTATCATCCTTCGTCACTCATCCCCGCACGTCCTCCGCTCCCCGCACGCCCACCGAGGGCAGGGATGGAATCCACGCCCCTACTTTCTCCGTCTCAATTTTTCCGGAAAAATATATAATAAAACGCAAAGCCACGGCCACCGGGCGATGCGAGACTGCGGCGGGGCGGCCTGCGCGCGCAGGGCGTCCGGCGTGAGGACGGCGGCGGCAGGAGCAAACGGCCTCCGCCTCATCCCTAATCTCGCCGCCGCCACCCACGATCCTGCGCCCATGCCCGCCTCCACACGATGCGCCACTGGCCCACTGCCATGGCCGACCACGCAGATGTCGCTGCGGCCTTGAACCCTGGGGCGGACGAGGTCCTGGCCTTGGGCGACGCAGGGCGGGTGACCACCTGGTTGCGGGCGCGGCCAGAGCGGGCGAGATCCTCGCTGGGGGTGCACGCGGCCTCCTGGCCGGGGGCGACGCCGGGACGGGTAGCATCCTGGCCGGGGGCGACGCCGAGCCGAGAACACGCTCCTAGCTTTCGTCGCAAGGTTGGTAAGTTTTCCATCTTTTGATGTTTGGTTTTTAATGTAATCGCAGATTCTTAAAGCTATGGGATTCACGAGCTTGTCAGCCTTTTCGTTTGTTTGTTCGCGTTTTAGCTTATAAGTCATGATTTATTAGTTAATAATCAATATTTTTTTCTCACATTAAATCAGTCAACCGTAGTTTTCAACTTAGTCTTATCAGCTAAATAAGTCCAAACGAACGGGCGTCTTTTGCACACCCTGATGCAGACATGGTATAGTTATTACTGCTGGATGTTTCCAGTCTATATATGCACATATACATTTCCTCATTTCGATGTTTTTATGTTTTCAGCATATCATGAAGGATCTTTCAACTTTGAAAGTGTACGCCATTGATGTAGATGAGGCTCATGAAGTATGTTTTTATTTCTTCTACCATAGCATCTTTCCACAGAAAATGAATTGTTAGGTACACAAATAAATCTATTAAACATTTGGAATTCAGAAGGCCGGAGAGTTCCCTGTGCCCACAGTACTTTTAGATAAGGCCCGGTCTGAGATGAACCTACGGACGCAAGCACAAGCAGACACATGTTTCCAGCAAGAAGGCAGACAACAGTTTGGTAGTGGATATCCTGATCATGGTTCAACAGAGATGCAAAGCAAAGAGAGCGAGGTTTCAGATAGCAGCAGCAACATGCAGTACGAAAGTGTGTTCTTGTCAGCACAACAATGCAGATGTCCCCTCCGAAGTGTGTCCCAAATATTCTTGTTTAGTTGCGGCACATCGAACAATGGAGCATTAAATGTGAAGCGAAAAGATGATGTGTGAAGAGCGTTTTAAAGCCTAATTAGTCAATGTTTGGACACTATTTTGATGTTGGTGATCAAAATCAAATTTCGCGAACTAAATAAGGGCTCTTGATGTTGGATCTCACAGCAGGATCATGGTATGCTTTCTTCCTATTTTGTTTTCCATGTTGCATCTTCCAGTTAAGGCAGGGCACCCTGAAATGAACATTGTGGAATAACAATGACATTTTATTTTATGTGTTTAACGAAAGTTGATGTGTGAAGAGCGGGTCTGGTGCAAGCGGTAGAGTTTTACCGCCTGTGACCGGAAGGTTCCGAGTTTGAGTCGCGGTCTCCTCGCATTGCACAGGTGAAAGTAAGGCTTGTCACTGACACCCTTCCCTAGACCTACATAGAACGGGAGCTCTCTGCACTGGGTACGTCTTTTTTTAACAAAAGTTGATGTGTAAATGAAGCTGAAAGTTGATGTGTAAATGAAGCTCAGAATAAAGACGCATCGTCAGGCCTCTTCCTTAACAATTGAAGGTGTCAGGGATGAGCAAGACGAGCAAGTCTTTGTCTTCCTGCAAGAGCTTTTGAACAAGTACTTACTACGTGACAAGCATAGTGACTCACTTGTCGGTGAGGTTAGGCCTCGTTTAGTTGCGCCCGAATTTGGCGCCGGCAAAGTTACTGTAGCATTTCATTTGCATTTTGTAATAATTGTCCAAACGTTGACTAATTAGGCTCAAAACGTTCGTCTCGCAAAGTACAACAAAACTGTGCAATTAGTTTTTGATTTCATCAACATTTAATACTCCATACATGTACCGCAAATTTGATGTGACGAGAAATCTTTTTTTTGCATAGTGCCAAAATTTGGATTCTGGAGGAACTAAACGCGCCCTTAGTTACAAATGGAAATTGTATATATTTAAAGCTACTAAAACATGGATAGCTCTTGATCATCTGGTATTATTTCTTAAAATTATTAGTGAATTTCTGCAGGGACACCTCTAACAGTTGTTTGGGAGCTTTGACAAACTGAAGTTGCTCATTTGAAATGTTCCTTGGTTAAGGAGAAAATTAGGTAATAAGTAGTAGTGGTAGTGGAAAATAGTATCAGCGTCATGGTGAGAGTGAGACAACTCTTGAGCTTCAGGGAGTTTGGTTCTCATCTAATTTGGTGACCTTAAGGGGTTCTGCATCTTGTTTAAATGAGTGTTGTCGGGGACCTAATACCGGGGTACCCCAGAAGGTGGAACCAATAACTACCGAACGATAAAAACTTCTGGACGGATAAGGGCGCCGTAGCGTTCCTTGCTCGAACGACAGGAGTTTGGTTCCGCCTCGCTCGACGCCTTTGGGGTAGCTCTGCCTCGCCCGAGGGATCAGGGCTAGTCTCCGTCTCGCCCGACGCCTTTTGGGCGGGCACTGTCTCGCCCGAGGGCTCAGGACTAGACTCCGCCTCGCCCGACCCCAGAGGGGCGGGTCGGTCTCGCCCAAGAGATAGGGATTGGTCTCCGTTTCACCCGACGGCCAGGAACGAGCCTCATGCCCTTCGATATCTAAAGACTGGTTTCATCTTACGACAACTCCACCCATTCCCTCATAAATGATGGATGCAGGGCAAGATAAGGCGTCGGGTCAACCATGGCTCCAAGGACCATACCGCGCACCTGGTAGGAAAAATACTTGCCGAGGAACAGCGTGACAGTGCTTTAGACTCTTCCGGGCGCCTTGAGCCCAAAAAGTGTTTACAGTGCGTGCTCTTCGCATCAGTAGAGTTGTAGGCGCCGCTGGCTCTGGGACACGAACCCGAAAAGATATATCGACAATCGCTACGCTCGAGAAAAGGATTTGCTATCTCCACAGACGACGGGTATTCCGTCACCACGCTATGGACCCGGGGAGCGGTGCCGCTTCCTGACCCCCCAGTCCACCAAGACGAAGACCTTGGCCACGGCGCTACTCTAGACCCGACCCCGCGTCCCTCCGACGAAGACTCATAGGAACCGAGAAGGCGTGCGGATCAAGGCTGGGGGAGGCTCATAAGTCAAAACAAGCTGTACTGCGGCCCATACCCTGCAAGTAGGTAGCATTCTGTAACCAAACTTGACATTCTACAAAGACATCGACAATATTGTAGGCGCTGATCTTCCTTCGCACTCATCAGAATGAAGAACCAGGCCGGGTAGACGTGAGCCACAAGACTAAGTAGAGTACGCATCCTAAAGCCCTCACCCTTGTAAAAGCCAGCCCCTTCCTCTATAAAAGGGGATGCGCTTCCTCCATCAAAGAGAGGGACTTCTGACCGAACAGCAGAGGACACACACACACAGTCAAGCGGCTACCAAGTTCTTGACCTCCTTTCAACCCTTCCATCATAGACTTGGGACCAGTCCCTCTCTCGATCGTTTGTACCCCCTACTACGAACCGTTCATGGTGCTAATAACACGAGCAGCAACAAACTAGACGTAGGGACATTCGGCCCGAACCAGTATAAATCTTGTGTCCTTTAGCGCACCATCCGAGCCTAACGCACATTACTATAAATTTACTTGCCGGTGCCTGTACGAAACACCGACAGTTGGCGCGCCAGGTAGGGGCTTTGCGCATTCCAAATCAGGCCTCGGATGGCCACCCACGCAATCAGCTGGGCCCCGTGCGCACATGTGCGTTTCTGCGACCTAGATTTCATCATTACACTAGGAGGAGAACTGGCGCTGACCCACACGGCCGCATAGTCTCTCCCTTCCATCAACCTCAGCCGTCTGAGGCTTAAGGGCCCACGGGGCGACTCCCTTAGACCCCAGTTATCCAGGGAGCCCCCGCGCAGCATGACCCTGTTTCCGGAAGGCTCCGGCCAAAGCGCCCCAACAGCGTTTCCATTCGGTCTCCGCAACATCGCGGCGACCGCCGGCCACCTTCTGGCACTACGCATGGTTCAGCCACCTACGGACAGCGAGTTCGTGGGGGTAATCGAACACGATCCGAAGACACTCTACGGGCTCCTCGCGGAGGATCTAGAGTTGTCCTCCAGCTCTGACTCCAGCAATGGGAGCCATCACCCTTCCCGGGAATGCTTCATGACGCAAACCCCCGAGGGACACGTCCAAAATGTCTCTGGAGAAGAGACAACCCCAACAGGCAACCTCGATGCTAGGATCGAGGCGGAGACGGCGGCTCCATCTCACGTAAGGATGGAGCAGCTAAGAGCACGAAAGCTGGAGATCGATGACGCTGGGCAACAGCTTGTCCGGGAGTACCAAAACATCGAGGAGGAGATCAAGCATCGCAGAGACGGTGGGCACACACGCACCTCGGCCCGTGATGTGCATCGGAGGATCCACACCGATGATGGGACTCTCCCTCATTTCGCTTGGGCAAGCCAGAACATTGCCGCATCAACGGCCTTGCTACACGGCCTTCCGGAGGCCGTGACTTCCGAGGATCGCCGCGCCTGTCGAGAAATTCGCACGTTGCTCGAACGTGCGGCGGCGCAGCAGGCGGAAAGCTCGTTGTCTCGACGACGTGAGCCCGACACCAGCCAGCGCACGCCCTCGGTACGTCCCGCCAAGGACGCGTCCGTTCACCAGACGCCGCCGGGCAACAGGCAGCGCTCCGCTATCCCGGTACATCAACGTCTCGGCCACAGCTGTGATGTGCATAGCACCATCGACGCTTGTAGGCGCACCCACGGCGACAAAAAGGAAGAAGCCTGACACGGCTATCATCCATGACGCGGCGGACACTATGACAGCGGCGAGGACCGGAGCCCGAGTCCCAGCCTGCCTGGCCCTCGGGCCTTCGGCCGACACATCCTCAACGCTGCGTTCCCCCCGAGGTACCGACCGCCCACCAATATCCTAAAATATTCTGGAGAATCAAACCCTGGGCTTTGGCTTGAAGACTATCGGCTTGCCTGCCAAGCCGGTGGTGCGAGTGATGATAATTTCATTATTCGCAATCTCCCGCTATTCTTGGCCGATTCGGCACGAGCGTGGTTGGAGCACCTACCGTCCAACGCCATTCAGAGTTGGGCGGATCTAATGGAGATCTTTGTGGGTAATTTCCAGGGCACGTATAAACGCCCTGGAAACCCATGGGACCTCAAGAACTGTCGTCAGAAGGCCGATGAAACCCTCCGTGGGTACATTCAGCTTTTTTCCCAGCAGTTCAACGAGCTCCCTAACGTTGTCGACGCCGACGTGATAGGGTCCTTCCTATCTGGGACAACCTGCGAATCCCTCGTCCACAAGCTGGGATGTAGGGGCCCGCGGACCACCAAGGAACTCCTGGACATCGCCACCAGCCACGCCTCAGGAGAGGAGGCGGTCGGAGCCGTCTTCGACCGCACCGACGGCAAGGCAAGGCAGGACGAGGCCGCCGATGAAGGCACCTCCGACCGCCCCGCCAAGAGAAAGAATAAGAAGCAACGGCACGACAACTAGCTCATGGCCGTCGTCGACCGTAAAGGTGGCCGGAAGCCCGCGGAAGGCACTCCGAACCATTTTGAAAAAATGCTTGAGGGGCCATGCCCAAACAACGCTTTCCTGGCCAAGCATCTATACAAAGAATGTGGCCTCATGCGCAAATACTTGTCCGGAGGCCTCAACAAGGGGGAACAGGGGAAGGAACCTGCCCCCAGTAGAGACGACATCGAGGACGACACCTTCCCGACTCCGAACGGCGCCCTGATGATCTTTGGAGGATCAGCGGCTTACGACTCCAAATGCCGCCAAAAGGTTGCGCACCGCGAGGTCTATACGGCCAAACCGGCCACACCTGCCTTCCTCCGATGGTTAGAAGCCGCCATAACCTTCGACCGGGCCGACCACCCGGGCGCCGTCCCACACCCAGGAAGATACCCGCTCGTCGTCGACCCGATCGTCGGCCCAAAGCGGCTCATAAAGGTACTGATGGACGGAGGCAGTGGCCTCAACATCATGTACGCCAAAACGCTCGACGAGATGGGCATCGACCGAACGAACCTCTGTCCCGTCCGAGCACCTTTTCATGGCGTCGTACCTGGTAGGCAAGCCATGCCACTAGGGCAGATCGATCTGCCCGTCACTTTCGGGGATCGGTCTAATTACAGGACTGAGACCCTCACCTTCGACGTAGTAGGGTTCCCTCCAGCTTTTCACGCCATCCTGGGACGACCATGTTACGCAAAGTTCATGGCCGTCCCCAACTATACGTACCTTAAGCTGAAGATGTT